AGTGATAGGCTGGAGAGTATGGAACTCTGCCTGGGCACAGGTGAGCAGTCAACAGAGAGCTTGGGGGTCAAAGGGAGAACAGCAATGGGGTAAATGACTGTGGGGATCTGTTCCAGACAGCCTGATCAGGAGGACTCTGTGGATAAAGCGCTCTATAGACAGATAAGAGTAGCCTCATGCTCATAGACCCTTGTTCTCATGGGGGACTTCAACCACCCTGACATCTGTTAGGGGGATAGTACGGCCCAGCACAAGCTGTCCAGGAGGTTCCTCGATTGTGTGGAAGATAATTTCCTTCTGCAAGTAATAGAGGAGCTGACAAGGAGAGGTGCCATGCTTGACCTCACACTCACCAAAAGGGAAGGGCTGGTTGGAAATGTGATACTCCAGGGCAGACTTGATTGCAGCAATCATGAGATGGTCAAATTCTTGATCCTCAGGACAGTGAGAAGAGCGTGCAGCAAGCTCACTGCCCTGGACTTCAAGAGAGCAGACTTTGGCCTCTTCAGGAACCTGCTTAGTAAGGTGCCATGGGATAAAGCCCTAGAGGGCAAGTTGGCCCAAGGTTGATATTCGAGGATCGCCTGCTCTAAGCTCAGGAGCATCGTGACCTGACAAGAAGAAAATGGGGCAAGGAGGCCAGGAGGCTTCTGTGGATGGATGAGGAGCTGCTGAGAAAACTCAGAGGGGGAAAAAAAGAAGCTTTAAAAGCAGGAAGAGAGGACAGGCGGCCTGGGAAGAATGGAGGGACATTGCCTGGGAAACTAGGGACAAGGTTCAGACAGCTAAGGCCCAGTTAGAATTGAGTTTGGCCAGGAGCGTGAAAGATAACAGGAAGGGTTTCTATAGGTATGTAGCAAACAAAAGGCAGACTAGGGATAATGTGGGCCCTCTGCAGAAGCTATCGGGAGAACTGGCTACCCTGGATTTGGAGAAGGCTGAGGTTCTCAATGACTTCTTTGCCTCAGTCTTCACTGCCAAGTGCTCTAGTCACACCCCTCAAGTCTTGGAAGGCAGATGCAGGGACTGTGAGAATGAAGACCTTGGGCCCACTGTAGGAGAGGATCAGGTTTGAGACCATCTTAAGAACCTGAACGTGCACAAGTCCATGGGACCTGATGAAATCCATCCACGCGTCCTGACAGAGCTGGTGAATTAAGTTGCTAAGCCACTGTGCCTCATATATGAAAAATCATGGCATTCAGGTGAAGTTCCTGATGACTGGAAAAAGGGAAATATAACCCCCATTTTCAAGAAGGGGAAAATGGATGACCCAGGGAATTACAGACCAGTCAGTCTCACCTCTGTGCCTGGCAAAATCTTGGAGCAGATTCTCCTGGAAGGCATGCTAAGGCACATGAAAAACAACAAGGTGCTTGGTGACAGCCAGCATGGCTTCACTAAGGAGAAATCCTGCCTGACCAATTTGGTGGCCTTCTATGATGAGGCTACGGAACTGATGGACAGGGGTAGAGCAGTTGATGTCATCTACCTGGACTTGTGTAAAGTGTTCGACACTGTCCCACACGACATCCTTGTCTCTAAATTTAAGAGATACCAATTTGATGTGTGGACCACCCTGTGAATAAAGAACTGGCTGGATGACCACAGGCCATTGTGGTCAACAGCTTAATGTCCAACTGAAGACCAGTAACGAGTGGTGACCCTCAGGGGTTGGTGTTGGGACTGATCCTGTTCAACATCTTTGTATGTGACATAGGCAGTGAGATTGAGTGCTCTCTTAGTAAGTCTGCTGATGATGCTGTTACGTGGCTCGACCGATACGCTGACATCCAGAGAGACCTGGGCACGCTTGAGAGGTGGGGCAATGCCAGCATCGTGAAGTTCAATCAAGACAACTACAAGGTCCTACACCTGGATCAAGTCAATGCCAGGCACAGCTACAGGCTGGGCAAAGAAGAGATTCAGAGCAGCCCTGCAGAGAAGGACTTGGGGGTGTTGGTCAATGAGAAAACGAAACTGAGCCTGCTTCAGTGTGTGCTCATAGCCCAGAAATCCAACCGTATCCTGGGCTGCATCAAAAGGAGTGTGACCAGTAGGTCAAAGCAGGTGACCCTGCCCCTCTACTCTGCTCTTGAGATCCCACCTGGAGTACCGTGTGCAGTTCTGGTGTCCTAAACAGAAGGAGGACATGGAGCTGTTGGAGGAAGTCTAAAGGAGGGCCACAAGGATGATCAGGGGTCTCGAGCACCTCCCTGTATGAAGACAGTCTGAGGAAGTTGGGGCTTTTCAGCCTGCAGAAGGCTGTGTGATGACCTCATTGCAGCCTTCCAGTATCTGAAGGGGGCTTATAAGGATGCTGCGGAGGGGCTATTCATTAGGGACTGTAGTGATAGGACAAGGGGTAATGAGTTGAAGCTTAAAGAGGGGAAGTTCAGGTTAGATATAAGAAAGAAGTTCTTAACTGTGTGGGTGGTGAGGCACTGGAACAGGTTGCCCAAAGAAGTGCTCCATCTATGGCAGTGTTCAAGGCCAGGTTGGACAGAATCTTGGTTGGCATGGTTTAGTGTGTGGTGTCCATTCCCATGGCAGGGGGTTGAACTAGATGATCTTAAGGTCCTTTCCAACCCTAACTTTTATGATTCTAACCACAATAGCTGAAGATTAAAACACTGGTACCCTGAGCCCTATCTGTTCCAAAGCTTATCAGTATTCTTTCTGCTCATCTGTCAGCTGTCCCCAAGAGGAAGGGCTCTTCACAACCTGCAGCAGTGCATATTTGGGAGTGGGTTAGGGACAGGAGGGAAAGGGTATTGTTTTTTTAAAGCTTCATTTAGAAAATTGAATATAAAAGACATAATTGGATAAAATTACAAATATTGCCAAAGGAATCAAGTGCCCTAATGTGCCTTTTCTTTCAAAGTGGAAGGACAGCTAAATGCCCCTCAAATTCATTTCAGGCTTTCATTTCACCTCCTTGCAAAAGTTACTTGAAAGAAAATCACATAATTCATAAGTTCTTAAAGAAGTAAACTGGTAAACATGGGGTGGCTGACCCGTTTTTCTCTCAGCAACTCATTGGAGCTTGCTCTTCATGTGCCCAAATTAAGGCAATGTGCCTTAGCTCAAATTCTGCTTAGTGAGGTTTAAGCTAAGGGAAGCTATTTCACAGCAGGGACAAGTTAAGGACCTGCACAGGGGTATTTAGAGGGACTGAGCTGTAGGAAGCTGACTCAGGAAGAGCTGTCACATTCCTACATTTGGTCAAGGATATTCTTCATGTCTCACACTCCATGACCAGCAGAGCAATCTCCAGGGAACACCCTGGTGTGGAGCCAATCTTGTTCCCTGCCTGGCATGGGGCCCGTTTCTCTTCAGGATGAAGGGCTATTTGCTGAATTGTTGGATGGTTCCAGAGATTTGGTTTTCTTAATGCAAGTTTTAATTTATATTATTATATTAGAGTAGCATTTGTGAAAGAAGATATTTCTATTGGAAATGTATGGCTATGTTTGTTTTCTGCAGGATTTTGTCCATTCTATACCAGTCACTATAGAATGACATATTTAAAAAAAAACCAAACAATTTGAAACCAAAAGTTCAATTGTAGAAGTGCAGGAAATGCCCTAGAATCATGTTCCAAGGACAATACTCCTGCTTAATACAAAACTACCAATGCTTTCAAAAGCCGTTACTAACTAGAGCTGCGTCAACACCACCACAGATTGAAATGATCCTTGAGATTCAAAACACTTTTTCCTCATTCCATTTGATTTGTCAAATAAATGTGATAAATAGCTTGATAAATGGCTTCTGAAAGTTAAACCTCACATGGAGCAAACATTACCTTTTTGCCTAGGAGGTGAAAGAAAGAAAGTTGAACTGCACATAGACTGAAGGATAAAATCTGGGCCACAGTACCCACAGGGAAGCAGATGAACAGTTTTTGTGAATGAGGCTAGTGATGTGGGGGTTTTAAGTGTTATATTCCCATAACTGCTATCACTAACAAACATTTATGTTGGTGCAATGCCCAGTCATTTCAACCTGATGAGAATTCCTACAAGGCTCCACTGCAGTAGCTTTTCTACAAACTAATGACAGTGTGTGCTTTCCATTACCCTGGAATACTTGATATATGTTTTATTACACTGGATACCTTGGCATGAATGGTCTGCTTCTGGCTGCATTTACGGCTAAGTCTTCTTGTTTTCAAAGAGATGAACATTAAGTTGTTTGCTAAGAGGGATGAATTTCCTTCTGCCTCAGTGATGCTCAAAATAAGCATTTTGTATAATTCCTGCCATTTCTCCTCCAATTGAAATGTATTCCCTAAACCTTGTAAAACTGTAGGCTGATTTATTTCAAACTCATTTCCCCCAGAAGCCCTTTTGCTTCTCAACAATATTTTTACTGCAATACCTACACTAGTGATAGTCACTTAATCACTCTGACAGAGTTGAAGCGTCATTATCTTCAGTTTTCCATGCAGACACAGAATAATGCAGAAAAGGAATTAATCCCACTCAGTTTCAGCCATGTAAAAGTTAAGGATCTGGTCTAAGCTTGTTTTATGCAGGCTCCTCTTACGGAGAGCTGTAGAGAGCAGCCTCACACTTGCAGACCCTTGCCCCCTCAAGGGGCACTTCAGCCACCCCTGTATTTGTTGGAGGGACAGTACAGCCCAGCACAAGTAATCCAGGAGGTTCCTCTACCATGTGGTAAGACAATTTCCTTCTGCAAGTAATAGAGGAGCTGACAAGGAGAGGTGCCATGCTTGACCTTGTGTGCACCAACAGGGAGGGGCTGGTTGGAAATGTGATGCTCCAAGGCAGACTTGATTGCAGCAATCATGAGATGGTCAAATTCTTGATCCTCAGGACAGTGAGAAGAGCGTGCAGCAAGCTCACTGCCCTGGACTTCAAGAGAGCAGACTTTGGCCTCTTCAGGAACCTGCTTAGTAAGGTGCCATGGGATAAAGCCCTAGAGGGCAGAGGGGCCCAAGACTGTTGGTTGATATTCAAGGATCACCTGCTCAGGAGCATCGTGACCTGACAAGAAGAAAATGGGGCAAGGAGGCCAGGAGGCTTCTGTGGATGGATGAGGAGCTGCTGAGAAAACTCAGAGGGGGAAAAAAGAAGCTTTAAAAGCAGGAAGAGAGGACAGGTGGCCTGGGAAGAATGGAGGGACATTGTCCAGGAAGGTAGGAATCAGTTAGAATTGAGTATGGCCAAGGATGTGAAAGATAACAGGAATGGCTTCTGTAGGTATGTAGCAAATAAAAGACAGACTAGGGATAATGTGGGTCCTCTTTGAAAGCTATCGATTTTATCATTTTATCTTATGCATGCTTATTTTTGTATATATACTTTTAATGCTATTGTATTGATTTTTATATAGTGACAACAGCACTTGGCAGACTCCACTGCAATGTTTTCAGGGAGTGATCAAGACTGGAGTGGGTCAAGAACTGAGGATTTTTACTAGAACCATTGTTTGTTCAGAGACTGCCCTGTCACTCACAGATCAATTCTTATTTTGAACTCTGTGTGTGTGTATTATAATTTGCACAGGTATGATGCCTTGGTAAAGGTATGATACAGCTCTTGTCTCAATATGCCAAGAGTATGTGCACATTTTACTCGCAGAGTAATGTATGCATAATGACTGAGACCTCTTGTTTACGTTCACTGTCTTGATGCTGGGAGCATTACTTACCATTTTATGTTTGTAATTCTGTATGTTCAATGTGTGGAACAACTGCATGTTAACTCGTTTTACTATCTCTTGATAATTCAGAAAAATTTAATCTTAAAGTAGTTATGTGCTAAACTTCATTCTTTCCTGAAAAAGTGCATAAAGAGAAGACAATTTTAGATGCATTTCTTTGGGGGACTTCAAGATGTGAAGGAGTTCTAAGACTTGGGAAAAGGCTTACAAAACAACATGCTACCATTATTCATCCACTGTCTTGTAAACGTTTAGCTTTCTGAAGCCCATAAGTAAATACATACATTTTCTCCTTAGGATAGTGAGTTCAAAGTAATGAAATCAGAACTTGTCATAGTTCATAAACATAGATATCATTGCCATCCACTGTTAATGTTATAATTTGAACCTTCCATTCATATTTCCTTATTTCTCTCTAGGTATTAGGGAAGCAGTGATTTGTGGAGTCCAGAGAAGCCAGTCTGCAAGCAGTGAGGAAAGAGGATTCCTCACATTTCCTGATCTGAGCCAGGTGACTTTCTAAAGATGGAACAATCTGTGGAAAAAAAGTAACTGAGGAGGCAGGATCAACAAGCTGGCTCCAGCCAGTGAGTCCACCCCTCCCAGCTTCACCCTTGATCACCAGAGTCCATGGCTGTGCACCTTCAGATTAGAAGACAAGCTAAAATCATGAAGGACAAGCTCAGCTGTTCAATGTAATTAACAGGCAAACTCTTCTTTTACACTGACTGACCCTTTGTTGAAAGGAGTGGAACTACTTGGGGAGAAAGGCAATTGCTGTAAGTGAGCAACTGCTGTAATTTTCCAGCCCTTTCTGCACTGCAAAAATAGCCCTGACTCTACAGTTACATAAATGGATTGCTAGGTGTAAAAGGATTTGTCAGCAAGGATATGGTTCTGCAGTAAGAAGCTGGAGGACCTAAATATGCATACACTCCTCAGCATCAGTTATGTTTAAGTAAAATGAGTCCCGTGAGTAGGGGCTGTACTTTAACAAATAGCATCACTTCTCTACCCCAGGTCCCACCCTGTGAATAATGGGAGAGTTGTGATGGATACACCAGGAGTAGCCCAGCAAAGCATGTTTGCTTTTAAAACACTGCTCCCTATGGATAAGCCAAGATCCTACTTGGCAGCCGCATGAGGAAGTTTGCAGTGATCATGATCTGACCAGATAAAATAATCTGGGGCCTAATGTATGCAACACAGTACCTTTTCAGAGTGTTTATTCAAATTTAAAGAAGAGCTGGGCCAGTTCCAGGTAAGGTGTGTCCATGGCCAGCAGTAAGTTACTTCTGTCATTTTTAAGAAGGCCAGATGCTGGCTAGTGAGAGTACAGCTTGCAGGGCTGAAAAGGAAGCAGATTTTCACTTTGCTCTTTACAGATAACTAAATTTTGCCAGAATTCAATTGAAGAAGGCTGATGCTGCACTTGTAACTGTCTTGTCTAGGAGAGAAGAGAGTCATGGCTGTAAATAATGCATACAGATCCATAAAGTTAGGAGGTGGAAACCAAAATGCCAATGGAACTTCACTCCTGAGCAAGTGAAAAGCAAGAAAGGGAATTCATTCTCTTCTTTGATAACTTTAAGGGAAGCCCTACTATAAGGAAGACTCCCTAGCATGAACTGAATTTGGAGACCAAGTCTAGCACACATTCATTGGAAAACTATGACCAAGATACTTAAAACACTGGAGTGCTTGGTTTAAGAATGAAGGAATAATTTGGAATACATGTTTGCTTGTGTCTATATTGTGTAATAACATGGGCTGCTTTTAATTTTTACAGCAAGATTTTCTACTCCCCTCTGTAACTCACCCTTTAAAACTCTCAGATCTGAAGAAAGTCTGAGAAACCTCCTGAGAGTATTCACATGAACATTTGTCTACAGAATTACACCATTGTTTAATAAACAGCAGCTAAATGAATTTACATTCCCACCACACACATGAGGACTATGTGTTTGTGGGTGTCCTGCAGAAGCACAGGGATAAAGTGGGCTGAATGTTGAATTCCACAAAAAAAACAGATGTGCCTGGTGATGTCCAGATTGCAGCTTAAGATAAGGGACATGCAGGTTAAGTCCAGGTTCTGGCAGATTCAAGGGAGAGTTTTTCATTGCTGCATTATCCAAGGCACGCAAAGTAAAATCTTAAACACTCAACCAAGTCCAAGTATTATCTCACTGCAGGGAACAGAATCATCCTCTCTGACAAATTATAGCAATGCAATTCTGAAAAGTTTTCTGTTGATGCAAGTGTTACAACCAGCCCTAGTCCACATTTAAAATGCAACTGTGCATGCAAAGCTACCCGTCAGCTGGTTCTTACCTTGGAAAGTAAGCCTTGTGTGCTAAACTGCTTCTCACAGTGTGTCAGAGAAGGAGTCTACATCCAGAAGGTCATCAAAGCCACTCCAGCCCATGATGAAAGGCAGGGGAAGTCCCACAGGACCTGTGTCAGTGCTGCAAAGACAAGATGCCTTTGGTTTCAATCTGTAGAAATTGTGATATATACCTAGAATAATTTTTATTCTTTTCAGCAGAAAATGAAAACACAGAAATACTGCCTTCAGTGGAGGGCTTCTTCCTTAGGACCTGCTTGCCTACAGTTCTGGGGAATGAAAGAGGCTGGGGGTGAGCTTGTCATCAGAAAAGGCAGAAACATCCAATGGCGGAGAAAGCAGCAAAGCAACACATATAAGAGAGGAAAGTGAGCATGGAAGCAAAGGCCCAAGTGTCCAACAAAACCCACTGTTAGAGAATTTGTAGGCTGCAGAGCAGGAAGGCCATTGCTAATCTATGAACTAGTGCTGCCAATGGAGACCAAAGAGCTATCAGAAGAAATCAGAAAGGAAGCAGCAGGTGACAATGAAACCCTTGAGGAGGCTCAAGACCTTGGTCAAAGGAAAAGATCCAGCGCTGCACACCAACAATGAAAGAGCCAAAGAGGCACAGACAGAGGATGTAGAGACTGCTGGGGGGAGAAGGGAGATCATGAGGTAATAAAGCCAGAGGATTCAGGCTGAACAGATGGAGAAGAAATGGACGGTAACAAAGAGAAAGGTAAGATAGAGTGCAGGTCAAAGGAAAAGACAAATGAAGAGCACACACTCTCAGCACAGCACTAAACTGGCTCATGAGAGTATTGCAAACAAAAGAAGTTGTTTCAAACCAGGGCTCATGTAAGACATTGCTGTAATTAGTCAATGAGCCTAGCTTCTGGCCAGGGGCTGCCAGGCACAACATCAAAGTCCAAAGCAACAGGCTCTACTCATGTTATTGAAATAAAATTTTAAAAGTCCTGCAACAAAGGCTGATTCATTATAATACTTTTCCATGAAACAGTCAATATTATCTGTCAGTTCCTTAGGCATAAAAGTGAAGACTGAAGAAACATGTGAGATTCAGACAAGGAAAGCAAGGTTTTACCAGCACGGGCTCAAAATGGCTACACAGGCTGGAAAAGTAGGTGCATCCAGCTGCATCTAGGTGGATCATGTAGGTTGTCCCATGTGAACACTAAAAGCCTTTTATCACATTTAATTTTAAAAGTAATGGTAAAAAGCAATTAAATTAAATGGATATTGCCTTTCATTCACATCACTTCTGCAGCCCATCTTTCTCCAGGGTATGACCTTAGACAGAAAAAAAATAATAACTATTTCATTTTAGAACCCACTGTAATTGACACCAGTGTTTTGTTTTGGTTTGTTTTTTTCCACACAACGCATTAGATTTTTAATGGTAGGATAATCTGGATGGACTTTAAACCTAACCTCTGAAGTGTGCTATCAGGCCTAATGGTGGTGTAATTTTAGTAGATGGGAGATTAAGTGAAGATTTTTTATTAGGGGGTGGAAGTACAAGGTATAATCCTACAGCAGATTAAGACTGACAGTATCAAAGGTGTTTCAGTTATCAAATATGTCTGTAGTTTATCATAGGGACGCTACCATCATGAGTGAGATATATATATATCAGTGTACTTTCACCAGGAAACATTTGAGGTGTTTTAAGCTTTATTTGTACATTTTTGTTTTCTGTTAAATTGTGCTCTCCAGAAGTCAAGCCAAATATAAACTAGCTCCACGAACTTTTCCTAGGGGACTCTGGCTTCTACATCAATGTAAGCAAAATAGCTGAGAGTTCACACCAACCATGTGTTAATGATGGCAGCAGAGCTACTGTTTCATAAGAAGTATCACAAAAATTATGTACACTCCCAAGGACGAAAAAAAGAGTGAGCAGCTATGCCAAAAGATTTTGGACAAAGGATTCGTATTCTGAGTTCTTTCACTGCATAATGGCTTTCCTTCACTGCTAGCTTTCATATTTTGACGAAATAGCACTCATCCTTATTATCTGTAAGATGTCTTTTGTGAGATGTTCATAGGCTGAAGTCTGCAGACCGAATCATTCAAGATTTTCTATGGGCCTGATTCTGCATCAGGAAAGTTGATGTGAATTTTATTGGTGATTTGTCAGGGTATCTGAGGTTTTTATCTTAGAAATGTTCATACGAAAAAAGTTTAAAGTACTTTTGATATTACATTTTATTCTTCTAATATGCTAACAGAAATCCAATGAGCCAGTGCTGATCTAGATTTAGATGGTGTGGACTGTGTAAAATTGAAGGCTCCGAAGAGCAGCCTGCAAGTAGCAGGCAGCAGCAGAAACAAGTAGCAAACAGAACTAATCTTTAAAAATGCATTAATTTTTATTGAAGAAGACTGTGCTAGTACCACACTAGACACTTAGAATATGGGAAGTAAACTAGTGAAGAATCCCCTGACAACTGTGGAAATGCAAAAGGTCTGACCAACTTTATCCCGCCCTCCTACCCTGCCCAAGAAAAAGTGATGAATAACACAGTTCCTACACTTTCTTGGTCAGAATGCAGTTTTCAGTTGACACATCACTGTGATATGCAGATTTTAAGGATAAAATATTTGGGTTTTTTTTTTAAGTTAGATTGAATAGCAACTGTAAAAAAAAATCAAACATTTCCTACAATTTCACATGTGCTGTTCCCTTCTATAATCTGATTCTGTTCCACAAATTTCTGGGGAGATGGGCTGAGAAGCCATTCACTGGATTATGCAAAATGAGCCAGAATATTGCTTAGTCTTCAGAGATCATTCTTTTAGTCCTTTTTATCTTAAGGTTTGTATTGTTCTAGTCTGGTCTGGTCTGGTCTGGTCTTACAGCACTAGTTTTTAGTGCTGTATGTATTAGAGTGTTATTCATAAGCTGAACAAGCACCCGTTTACTGCTGCCAGTATATATGACAATTATTAAAACCACAAATCTCTGTTTTGCACTAAATTACATTTCAAGGGTTCCTGCCATGCATAACAAAGGAGGCTTGTCATGGTGACACAGTGCCACAGACCAGACCTTGCAACAGGTCTTTCCTATGGCACAGAGTATGGGAAGGGCTGGAGGAGTGAGCAGGGCATGAGCCCTTGGCTCCCCCAGGCGCTGTCTGCCTGACTACGATTCAGCAGCCAGTTTCCCTGGGCTCTGCACAGCTCCAGCAGCCCCAACCTCCCCAGTGCTCAGACACTGGGGAAGAAAAGCTAAGTGTTAGCAGCTGGCTGGCTCTGGTCACTCTTGAAAAGTCCCTTTGTAGGTCATGGAGATGGATTTTGTCAGCTGTGAGTGTCCATTGGTCACACACAAGGAACCCTCTTACAAGATGATAAATATAGAATAGTGAGTATCACAGTATCACAGTATGCTAGAGATTGGAAGGGACCTCAAAAGATCATCTAGTCCAATCCCCCTGCCGGAGCAGGAACACCTAGATAATGTTACACAGGAATGTGTCCAGGCGGGCTTTGAATGTCTCCAGGGAAGGAGACTCCACAACCTCCCTGGGCAGCCTGTTCCAGTGTTCCGTCATCCTCACTGAGAAGAAGTTCCTTCTCAAGTTTAAGTGGAACCTCTTGTGTTCCAGTTTGCACCCATTACCCCTTGTCCTATCATTGTTTGCCACTGAGTAGAGCCTGGCTCCATCCTCGTGACATTCCCCCTTTATATATTTATAGACACTAATAAGGTCACTCCTCAGTCTCCTCTTCTCCAAACTATAGAGACCCAGCTCCCTCAGTCTTTCCTCATAAGGGAGATGCTCCACTCCCTTAATCATCTTGGTTGCCCTGCGCTGGACTCTCTCCAGCAGCTCCCTGTCCTTCTTGAACTGAGGGGCCCAGAACTGGACACAATATTCCAGATGGGGTCTCACCAGGGCAGAGTAGAGGGGAAGGAGGACCTCTCTCGACCTACTAACCACCGCCCTTCTAAGAATTACCTTCTGAGTAATACTACAGAAATGCTAGCAGCTTGTATTGAGACTGACTGTGTTTCACCATGGAAAAGTCAATGTTCAGAGGTATTTATTCGTTACCTGGAGAGCTTTGGTTTGAAACAAGTACCCAAAGACATTCATTTACATCCCAAGGTTTCCCAAAGGAAGTGTTCAGTCTCCCAGTGAAGGCAGTACATGATTAAGAGTCTCTCTTGAAAAAAAAGGATATAGATATCACTCTTTAGCATATACACACACCTATTGAGATGTGGTCTGATGAAGATTATCTGAAGAGTAATCAGGTCCTTACTCAGCTAAAGGCTTTAAGTATGAAAAACTCAACCTATTTTAACATGGTTCACAGATACAAGACAATTTGCCAGAAAGTGAAGTCCCTAGATACAGCTATAAAAATTCTGAAAT